AGGAAGGAAGGAAGGAAGGAAGGAAGGAAGGAAGGAAGGAAGGAAGGGACTGTGGGGTCCTTGGTGCTTTCTGAGCTTGGTGGTTTTCTTGCAGACGTTTCATGGCCCGACTAGGGAACATCATCAGTGCTAGAAAGGAATGGGGGAGGAGGAGGAGGGGAAGGAGAAAGAGAAGGGGAAAGGAAAGAGAGAAGGGGAAGGAGAAAGGAGAAACAGAAGGGGAAGGAGAAGGAGAAAGAGGAGAATGAAGAAGAGGAGAAAGTGAAGGGGAATGAGAAAAGGAGAAACAGAAGGAGAGGAGAAAGAAAGGGAAAGGAGAAGGAGAAAGGAGGAGAAAGAGAAGGGGAATGAGAAAGAAGGAGAAATAGAAGGAGAGGAGAAGGGGAAGGGGAATGAGAAGGAGAAAGAAGGACAGGAGAAAGAGAAAAAGGGGAATCGGTTGACGAGGAGGAGGAGGAGAATAAGAATTATGGGGTCCTTGGCTAAAGCCCACACATCACAAGGTTGACCAAAGTGCCATTACTGCTATAAACCTCTTCTGTTTTGAGGGAGGCTGGTGGGGAGAAAACCTATAATTGAAGCCAAACAAAGAAACTTACATCTGATGCGGCTCCTCGAGTCCCAAATTTCGGGATTTTGGACCAGGGAATTCCAGTCGTTGAGGGAGATCTGGGAAGTGAGGCTCATGGTGCTGAGGTTGACAGGGAGATCCCCAGATCTTGAAGTGCTGCTTTCTGGGGAGGAGAGGAATGAAGGGGTGAGGAATGGGGACAGCGAGCAGAGGATTCTTCCCACGTCTGGGGTGGTATCAGGTCTCCTGCCTCGGGTCAGGGGGGTTCGACTAGAAGACCTCCAGGGTCCCTTCCAGCCCTGGGATTCTAGGTGACTCTTCGATAAGCTTGAAAAAAATGTGGATTCATACTTGCGCTAAGCAGCTGCCTGCATTAGCACCAAACGTGGACTGAGCGTCCTTGAGTTACAACCACCGGTTTAGTGGCCGTTTGAAGGGACAGTACTTTCCAAAAGGACCATTTTTCACACTTAACGACCGTCGCAGCGTTCCTCCAGGGTCACATGGCCCAAATTCAGACGCTCGGCAACCGACTTGTATTTACGATGGTCGCAGCATTTGTGTGTCTACGCGATCCCCTTTTGCAACCAATAAGAGTGGGGAAAGCTGGATTCACTCAACAAACCGTGTGACTCACTTAACGGCAGCAGGGATTCCCCTGAATGACTGGCCGCCGAACTGGGGTGAGAGGTTCTGTTTCACGACCGTCTTTAAAGCAGCGCAGGAATTTTTGCGGTCGTTACGTTGAGGAATGCCCGCGCCGTGCCATTTCTCGCCACCCGCCCCAAACCAAGCCGAAGTGGGCAGCGCACGGAGGCCAAGCCAGGGACAAAATGGACACCGGCCAAATGGGTTTTTTTTTTACCGAGAAGGACTGCTGACGTCGCCTGGTTGCAATACTGAGGACATCCGGGCCGTTTCAAGAAGCATTTTTGCAGCAACGAGGAGTCAGAAAAATCATTGAATGTATTGGAGATCTTCCTTTGCGCCTTGCCCTGGGAGACGAGAGAAAGTAAGACTCTCAACGCCTTTGGCTTTGATCAGGATTGTGGTTTGTGTATAGGGATTAAAAACTGACAATATCAACAGCGTATAAAGAGAATTTGTACAAGGTGTTTTATAGAGCAGTGGTCGCCAACCAGAGGGACGGGGACCACTGGTGGTCCACGAAAAGGTTTTGGTGGTCCGCAGAGAAATGTCACCCCCAAAGCAATTAATCCAGGCTGCATGGGAACACAAGGCTACACTGCCCACATGGCCCGCGGGAACACAAGGCTTGCGTTGCTTGCATTGTGAACAACACCAGGTAGTGAGGGGAGGGGGGAAAGGGCAGGGGGGGGGAACTTGCCCCACGCGCCTCACCTGGCCACCGGGCTGCTTCTTTCCACTTCTTTCTTCTTCTGCTTTTAGCTGCACGCAAAGAAAGCAGCAGAAGTCTTTCTTTCTCTCCCCCAAACTCCGCCAGAAATGAGTCTTTGGGACCCTGCAAGGCCTCCTGCTCCACGAGGCTGCGCCGGCAAAGACTCATTTCTGGCGGAGTTTGGGGGAGAGAAAGAAAAACTTCTGCTGCTTTCATTGCATGAAGCCAAAAGTCTCTCTCTCTCTCTATCTCTCCCCCTCCACCCCCCCGAGAACAGAGCTGGAGACGGTATCCCAAATAAAGAACAATTAATCGGTAGGAAAACGGGGTGATTTCACTGTCCCAGGGGTCATCAGATCCCCTTTTGCGACCTTTCTGACCAGGGAAGTCGATGGGGGAGCAGGATTGACTTAACAGCCTTGTTACTCACTTAACGACGCCGGCGATTCACTTAACCACGGTGGCAAGGAAAGTTGTAAAAATGGGGCAAATGAACAAATCTCTCGCTTGGCTCAGTTGTGGTCGTTAAGTCAAGGACTACCTGTATTAATACCTATCCAAGTATTAGAACGACTAAATGCCCCCTTTTTGCAAATCCGCTTACCTGTTTCTCATAATAACGCTTGACGGCATGAAATGCTTTACTGGGATGAATTTTGTTGCTGTCTGGATGATTCCACACAAGGGGCTGTTGGGGAGAACTCGTCTTCCTCAACTCTCTGATCCCCTTCGTCATCAAGGTAAGATTTTTCTCCATGAATGCAGAAACCTCGTCCTTTCTTCCAATTAAAAAGTCCTGGATAATTAAAAAAAAAAATCAAGTTGGTCATGCACCATCAAGATGCGATCGATTCCGTCCTGCGTCAATAAATAGATTTTTGGTTTTTTTACCCTGCTTTGAAAGGGGGGAAATAAAGAGATGACTTCTCCGGCTGTTATTAATTTCATTTCTTTGGAAAGAAATATCTGTAGCTTCCCATCAGCAATTTAAACCCGTGTGACTAGCCATATTGGGCGGGGGGAAGCAAGAACATTTTAAAAAATCACCCAGAAAATATCTACGTTAGGAGAAAAAGGCCAGGCAAAACATTGACCAAGATTTTTTTAAAAGCTAATGTTCCTTTATTTTTATTGCTTGTGACAGTGACAAGGTTTGAGTCACAGACTTTGCTCAATGCTTATGGTTTAAGGGAGCTCATGGCTAAGCCATCTTTGGGCCAGTCCTTCTCTCAGACCAGGCCATCTCACAGGGCTGTTGTAAGGCCAGAGATGAAGGTTGGAAGAGGAGGGTGTCTTACGTTCGCTCCCCTCGGACCCCTCGCCGTTTTAGGCCCGCGGGGGTCGCTCAAGGGATCTCGGGCCTCCTTTTTCAGGTTAGGCCAGCCTCGGTTGCTTAGCAACGCGGGGGAAACTCGCCGCGCGGCGCGATGACGCCATCCCCTGCGACACGTGGGCCGCATGCGTGGTCGAGGGCAGACGGGACGAGGAAGGGCACCTCCGAACGGGCGGCCCGGATTCGGGACTCCGCGCATGCGCCTGAGGGTTGCGCTGGATCGGCGTGGGTTTGGCTGGGAAGCCCGCGGGGGATCTTAAGGATCGCTTTTTCCGGGCCACTGGGTGCGGGATCGCGGCTGGGAATCCCATCCTTGCAGGTAAGGCAGAAAATCACCAGGTGCAGCTTATCCATCTCTCTTTCCAACTTGATCCATAATAATATTAATAATACTTGCATCAACTGCACCGGTTGAATTGCAGGCTGGCTGTTGCAAGAAGCTGTTGTTGCAAAGGATGGGGGTGTGAAACTCCTCCGGCCGGATCAGCTCCTTACAAAAACGGAGCAAAAACAGCTTTCCCTCTTGCAGCCAGCCTTGCAACGCTGCAGAAATTCAACAGGCGCAGCTTTGCTTGTTAGGTCACAAAAAAGGATCATAGCCGTCATAAATATGAGACCATTGCCAAGGATCTGAATTTTGATCATGTGACCATGGGGACCACGGTCGTAACTGTGAAAAACGATCTTAAGTCCCTTTTTTCAGTGCCATTGTAACTTCGGTCTCTAAACAAGCTTCTTGTAAATCAAGGAATTTATGTTTTTATATTTATTGAAATCTGAATTGATTATAGGATTCATTCCGATTTTTCAACTGGCTCACCTTTAAGCTTGGGTGGACTTCAACTCCCACAATTCCCCAACTAGCATGGAGAAATAGGAAGATGGCTGGCTTGGGGAATTCTGGGAGTTGTAGTCCACCCAAGTTTAAAAGCTGGCTAACACTGGTTGTGTGAATCGCATCTCGGCTTCCCGGAGCCCATTTTTTCCCTTAAATAAATGCCACTTTATAACTGCAAAGCCTGCCTTTCTCTTTCTGCTCCTTCCCAGCAGCCATCTGGATTCTGTTTCCTCTTTTAAATTTGGATATTTTTTCCCGTTTTCTCTGCTGGAAGACATCGTCATGGTACAACTCGGTAAGTTGGCATTACAGAATATTATATCTACATTCCCCTACAACAGTGATCCCCAAACTTGGCAACTTTAAGACTTCAACTCCCAGTATAGCCTGCTGGGTGACTTTGGACCAATCACCAGGAGACTGGGAGTTCTAGTCCTGCCTGAGCCATGAAAGCCGCCTGGGTGACTTTGGGTCAGTCTCGCTTAGCAACTGCCTCACTTAGCCACCGAAAGGTTGGCCTCCTTTGTCGTCGAGGTCTGCTGACTGACGGTGTCTTCCACCAATGTTTCTCTCACCAGGGCGCCCCCTGCTGAGGAAATACCGCAACGTCCGTGTGGTCATCCGGATGTCCCTCGGCGGTTGCACGAACCGGCCTTTCTACCGGATCGTGGCCGCCCACAACCGGCGCGCCCGCGACGGCAAATACCTCGAGCAGATTGGCTGCTACGACCCACTGCCCAACCGCTACGGCGAGAAGATTATGGGGCTGAACTTTGACCGGTTCAAATATTGGTTTGCCTACGGAGCGACCCTGACGAAGCCCCTTGAAAAACTGCTAGGTAAAGCCCCCCCGCCCCCCTTTTTGGTTTCGGTTACGCCTAGTCCTCGGTTTAATGACCGCTTAACAGAGCCAAACATTTCTTGGAAGGTGCATTCCAGGGGGAAAAAATCCCCTCAGGGGTCCTTCCCTGGGCTTGTAGTCCTTAGGAACGCTTTTTCACCGGTAGCAAACGGAGCACAAAATTTCTGTCTTTAAGCGAGGCGTTGAATTTTGCCACGTTTTACGACTTTCCTGGCTGCAGTTGTTAAGTGAATCCCACTTCCCTGTTGAGTTTGCTCATCAGAAACTCGTCAAAGGAGATCGCATGACTCCGGGACGCTGCGACCGTCATAAATACGAACCAATTGCCATAGGTCTGAATTTTGATCGGTCCCAAGTCACCTTTTTTTCAGTGCCGTTGTAATTTTGGACACTAAACGAACTGTTGTAAGGTGAGGACTACCTGTATCAGCTCCGCTTTTCAAAAATCAAATTTGTAAAATATTTTTAGACGTTTTTGAAGAATATGGGACGGTCCTTGACTTATGACCGTTTGTCGCACGCCCATTTTGAGAGCTCTCCTGTCACGAGCCCTCCCGTCACAACGGCACTGAAAAAGGGATCGCTAATCCTCGCAGATATGTCCGCAGTTGCCTGAACCTCACTTACGACCGTTCCAAGCAGCTTCCCACAAGCAAAATCAGATTTTATTTATTTTATATTCGTTTAAGAACATTTATAGGTCCGTTCAACTCGCTCTCAGTGACTTACAAAGATGAGGAGACCAACTCGCTTAATGACCACAGCAAAAATAGTTAAAATTTGTAAATAGTAAAAATAGTAAATTTGGGCGCAGCCATGCGATGCCTCCCTTAATGGCAAATCTTCTGGTCACGATTGCTGTCGTAATTCAAAGACTCCCCATACGCTCGATATTTTTTCCTATTGTATTTGCAAAACAATGCATTTTTTAAAATTTTAGTTTTTTTATTTTTTTATTTTTAGGTCTTACTGGATTCCTTCCCCTGCATCCGATGACAGTCACATACGCGGAACGGTTAAGGAAGAAAAAAGCCCAGGAGGCAGAGAAGGAGGCCGAAAACGAAGAAGGAGAAAAGGAAGATTTGGAGGAAAAGCAGGAACAACAGCAGCAAAATTGATCCATGGAGTGAGAAAAACCTCACATTGTTGGAGACTGAAAGGATAATGTTGATTTTAGGGTGGTTGTTTTTTAACGCACGACGGTGTGACCTCGGTTTACAAAATCTCACCTTGGATTCTTACCCGTTTGAAGGAAAGTTGGCTCCTGTCTTTAAAAGAGGCACACACACACCTTGTAGTGCACACCAAAAGGTCTGGTTCGCACAACCTGGAACTCATGTCTTCCTACCCCGAGCGGCTTTTCGTGCAATTAAACCCCAAATTTAAAACGAACCACAGAAAAGTTCGGATTCGATGCCGCTGTGGGTCGCGGCTGAGCTGCGGCCACATTTTAGCGGAATTCTAAATTTGAATTTTCTGCAGTGTTTTTTAAAATAAGGTGCACAGTAGCCTCAAGGCAGAAAGGTAGCTTTTTCCATAGAATTCGTAATTTTCCACACTTTCCGACGAAACGAAAAATATGTCATTTTTCTGAAATTTTGAGATGGCAGCCGCCGCCGTCTTAGGTGTCGCAGACGATAGGTGTGGTGGTGGCAGAGAAAGTCGCTGCAGAAAGGCCGGGGGAGAAGGGTGCTTTGAGCCTGTCCATCCTCAGCAGGGGTTTTGTAGTCATTCACCGTGCACGTGAGCCAGCTGTGAGTGCGAGTTTTCCCATCCAGTTTCTAAAACCACCACTCGGTTTTCTCTGCGAGCTTTTTCGGCTGCGAACACCAAGAGGTGAGAACAGAGCGTGTCTTCGGCGCTGGTCAGAATTCGAGATGGGTCGTTTTCCTGTTGGAAACGGGAGAAAAGGCTGCCATCTTGTGCTATGCAGCTAGTCCTCAACTTACAACCATTCATTTAGAGACCAAAGTTAACAATGGTAGCGCAAAAAAAAAAAGTTTCTTAGGACTTTTTCACACTTACAACCGTCACTGTATCCCTGTGATCAAAATTCAGGACATGAACTCGTATTTATGACGGTCGCACCGCCCTGGGAAGAGGTGTCACACCATCCCCTTTTGCGACCTGAACAACTGCAGTGATTCATTTAACAACAGGGGTGTGAAAGGTCATAAAAGGGGGCAAAACTCATCAAAGTGTCTCCCTCAACAACAACAGAAATGTTGGGTTCCATTGTGGTCGTAAGTCGAGGACTACTCATGCTGGCTAGGGGTAACTCACCTCATGGCAAGATGGCTGGCAGGCCAATTTTAACAAATAAAAAAATAAATAATTGGACTTGTAGCCGGAAACTGCCACACTGGGGAAACTTAATTCACCCTAGTAGAATCTGCACAGAGCACTGCAGTCTATCTGAGTTTTTCTATGGTTCTTTTTTTTAAAAAAATAAAGAGGGGAAAAATAAAATAAAACTTCACCAATACAGCTGAGACGAAGTTGTGGATCAAGTAATAATCTGCACCGCAGTGACCATTTAAACAAGCAGGGATGTCGGGCATCACTTGGGGAGAAAACGAGGTCTTTTTTTTTTGAAGGAAGTCGAAAATTTCCACGTCTGCCCCCTCCCCTTTACAGGAAAGCTCGCCCTGGGAAAAAGACGAGAAAGCAAATTATATTTTTGTAACTGGAAACAGCATGGGTGGGAAGAAAAGGGAAAATAAAATGACTGGGGAAACTCCAGGAAAAATTAAGAAGAAACTGAGGGAGAGAATTTCTATTCCTGGCACAACATTCCTGTAGGGTAGACCAGGCTGAAAGGCAGAAGTAATAAATAGGATTTTATCTGGCTTGCATTGCCTTCCTTACTTCCCTACTGCAATGATTGAGCATTGGGTGTGATGGCTTATAACAATATCTCTTTAATTTTTGTGACTTTAGAAAGAGTGGGCTTCAATTCCCAGAATTCCCCAGCCAGCTTGGCTGGCTGGGGAATTCTGGGAGTTGAAGTCCACAAGTCTTGAACTCACAAAGATTAAGCGATAATATCTGATCGTATTTAAGCCAGCCACTTTGCATGTCAATCACATTTACAGCTGGGAAGAGCCCAGCCAATCGTGGTTTATACTCATTCCACTATGCTTCAATAAACCAAGGTTTGATGCAATCTTGAGATTTGGGAGAAATATTTCCACTTCTAAAATAACCTGTCCATTTTCCAAGAAAAACCCAAATTAGCGTTTTGGGCCTCACCTTCGTTCCGTAAATGGTTGTCATCCGCACCCCGAGTTTTTCAGTAAAAGCGACCATCGTGAATGCAGCCGTCGCTCCGCCTTCAAATTCCATATTGACCACCTTGGAAAACCAAAAACACAGGCCATCCTCGACTTGGGAACACAATCATCATCATTGTTTAACGATCCCATAATCCCTTGCAGGGTAGAGAACCTGGGCAACTGAATGGAGCTAGCAGAGTGTTTTTACTGGCTGGATGCCTTTCCTGTCACCAGTGCGGAGTTTTCTTCGGCAAATATATTCTCATTCTGCCCAGAGAGAGAAATAATCTGCCTCTTATCTCGGATCAAACTCACAGGCTCCTGACTGTGAGGCGAGGCATGAAGCAAAGTTAAGGAGCAGCGAAAAAAGCTTTTTGCCTGCTTACCGACGGATGAATACAGGGCGTACCTGGTGGCTAACCACATCGTTGTCACAATCATAAACACATCTTCCGTACGGGCCGAGCCGCAAAGCCTCCGTCAGGGTTTCTATATCCGACCCACTGTTGCTGCAGACCACGGAGACTGGCCAGTGAAAAGCACCCTGTGGTGGTGATAATCAGCAGGCATGCAAGATTTGGGGAGATTTTGGGCACCCCCCCCCCTCAGGTCCCACTTCCCAGACGCTAATAAATTGCATAAATCAATTTTTTTATGGTTGCATGCTGAATTCACACATTGCACCAAACCGCAGAGGCCCAACACCCTGGTAATTCAATTTAGTTTTCAATTCAATTAATTTTTCAATGCAATTAAATTTTCAATTAAACATTCAATTGCTCAAATTCAATTGTGAATTCCATTTTAAATGCGATTCAGTTTTAAGTTGCAACATTGAATTCAATTTTAAAATGAAGTTAAATGTTCGATTTTCAATTCAATATTCAATTGCTCAATTCAATTGTGAATTCAATTTTAAACCCAACTCAAAGTTTTAAGTTAAAACGTTTAATTCATTGTTCATCCTTCTAACTACAGTTTGTCCAGGAAGTCAATTCCACGCAGCAGGCCATCAATCATAGTTTCTTAATAGTTTACATCACAATTTTACATATTGGTAACAGAATTTACACATTAATCCCAGCTCTCAACCGAAGAAACAAGGTTGGGAATTTTAGGCCACAAGCCAATGAAATGGCAGACTGGGACAATTTTGGGGTTTTATATAAGAGTTCCTTATGCAATATCAGGGGTTTTCAATTCAATGTATAGAATGTGAAGGATGTATGGTTTGTGTTTATTTTCATAGTTATGCACACTGAAGATGATATTTAATTTCCTTCTATGAGTTGCAATGACAATAAAGTAAACTAAAACTAAACTTCTTGATTATGCAAATAAAGGAATTGGAGGCTCAAACTGGCTTATGATCTAATTCACCTTTTCTGCACGTTCCAGGTAGATTTTCCGCGCAGAATATGGGCAGTTTGGTTCCACTGAACAGTCCAAACAGCGATGGCCAGCTCCTTTGGGCTGGAATGAAATCAAAATAAAAGACAAAAATAAGGAAATATGCAATCGTAAAATGAGGACCGTGTGTGTGTGTTGCATATGAGTGTGCATACATGCAAATTAGTGCAACATTTGCACTGAATGTCTGACCCCACAATCAAGAACTGTTTTAACGAATGGAAATCATTTCAATTTAAACCTTAAACATGTAGTTTTAATTCAATTCTATTAAAATGGTTTGATCATTTAATTCAATTCTTGTGCCACCCCATCAAAACAAAATACAACAGCAACCTTTGACAAACCTTGTTCTCTTTTGTGAAATGCGACAGGTGGCCAAAAGAGGAAACTTGTAAACATCTGAAAGGACAGGAGAGAGAGAAAAAAAATATGTGAAGGTTTAATCACAGGGGCTGTGTCAAAGTCTCTAGTCCTCAACTTACAACAACCCAACATTTCTGCTGTTAAGTAAGACACTTTTAAAGTGAATTTAAAGTCAAGTCAAGGACCACCTGTATTGTGGACAGATTTTATATTTTTCCAAAAATGTGATTGCAAATCTCTTGTAGCACAAAAGAGGAACAATTTCAATTAAGGGCTGAAAATGATAATGTTAAGAGAGAGAGACAGAGACAGACAGAGAAGGTAAAACACTCCTACCTTTTCCTTCCCATCCAAAAATGGATCAGGTCGAAATCATGGCAGGATTTAGCCAATAAAGAGAAAGAACTTTCGGTTTCATTTCTCCAATTCCCGCGGACGAAGGAATGGGCAAAATGCCAGAAACCTATCTAGAGTGGGGGGAAAAAAGGCAAATGATACACTAGAAAGGCTGAAAATTAAAAAGCGTGCATTTTGATAACCGTTAATGCAGTTTTAGAGCTACTTTGGCCTTGGTGTCAACAAGCTACGAATCTTGGTTTCTTAGTTCTTTTCCTCTAACTGTAGAAAGCCAAGCTGGTTTATCTGCCAGGGCTTCATACTCTGAAGACTTGTAAGTTCAAATCCCCTTAACAAGATTCACATACAATAGTCCTCGACTTACAACAAGCTCGACTTAGTGGCCGTTCAAAGTAACAACGGCAGAGAAAAAAATTAACGTAGGACAGTTTTTCACACTTATGACCATCGCACCATTTTGACGTGATCAAAATTCAGATGCTTGGCGTCTTAACAACTGTATTTCCAACTTAAATAACCACAGATTCACCTAATGGCCGTGGCAAGGTAGGTCATAAAATGGGACAAAACTCATTTAACAACCGTCCTGCTTTGCAACAGAAATGTTGGCTTCCATTGTGGGTCAGGATTACCTGTATATAAGATCCTTATAAGCAGTGGGACAACCTACATTTGACGTGTTCCCAACAAGAACTAACAACCAGTTAGGCAATGCTGCCTAGTGGTTAGAGTGATTAATCTGAGCATGGAACTTAAGGGGCCGGGTGGCTTTAAAGACCATAAAATCTCAAACCTGGAAGAAAAAAAATGTGTATTAAAAAAATAAAATTGGAGAAGGAGATACAACGGGAGCAAAGGATACACTTTCGGCATAAATTCCTTTTTATAAAATAATTCTTACAGGTTCCAGATGTTGAATATGGCAGATGTCGCCGATCAAGCCAGCGTCTAGCAATTCCTAAAAAGAAAGAAAAGGTTGGTTTCCATTTTTTTCCCCTTCTTCTTTTCTTTTTTGTGTGTGGGTTCATGAAAGCTGTTCTGTTCTCTTCGGCTCCTGTAAAAAAATAATAATAATAATGGCAATTTTAAGAAGGGGCATCTGAGCATCTGTTTTTTTCCCCCTCCTCCCTCCTGTTCCCCTCTTTTTCCTTGTGTGCTACGTCTTTTAAATTAAATTATCTGTTAAAACCTAATTCCTCCAGGCCTTCGGCCTTTGGTGGGGGGAAAAAAACACCTCAGATTCAAATCTTGGTCCCTCTTATCTTCCCGTTAACATAGCCAGCCAAGTCAGCTGTTGGGAAGAGAGCGCCACCATGCTGTCGAGACAAGAGAGAGGTCATCTAGTCCAACCCCGCTCCCCAAGTTGAGTTCTTAAGAATACCTCACCTTGATCTTCAGGGTGACCGGATGGTAACGGAGCACGTGACATACAGCAAGGATGACGTGGTTACTTTCGCACACCCGGACGACCTCTATGCAATCTTCGGCCGTCACCTAATTCATAAGTGAAGCATTTTTTTAATAAATTAAAAATAAAATAAAATGATGAAATGAAATACAATGAAATACAATAAAAATTAAATTAAATTAAGTTAAATCCAAAGCAAAGCAAAGCAAAGCAAATCACAACCCATCAGCTCTGAAAAGTTAGGATTTTGACTGGAAGACCTTTTTAAAATTATCTTTATTTATTTAAGGTCAGGTTTCTATTTTTCTCTCTCTCATTTCTTCCTTTCCCATGCTGGTTTTGTATAGAATTTTCCCCTAAATATTTGTTTCGTTTGGACAAATGCACCGGGGTGCGTGCAAAACAGCGACAAAACCTGAGGGTTTTGCAACAGTGATTTGGAGGGGGAAAAAACCAGAGATTCCTCCTCTAGGCTTAGGGTTTGATAAATACACTGCTAGAAATATACTTTGCATCAATATTAATAATTCCCAATTATCTTAAGGTAATATTATTAACAATATTCATAAGTCCAAATATTTGTATTTTAGTCATTGCCAGAACTTACCGCCATGGGTTTCTCCAACAAGATGTGATATCCCTTTTGGGCAAAAGCTACTGCAGGTGCCTGATGGAATAATAATAATAATAATAATAATAATAATAATAATAATAATAATAA